TGAAATGGGAAGTTGTAGACCCCAGAGAGTGCAAAGCGATTGAGGTGGGCAAGTAGTGAGAAATAGTGAATATTGAAATGGTAAAAATGAATAATAAGACTACTAGTAATTTCTGGGGTCTGATGTTGAATGAAACGAATGAGGAGACATTATTAGGCAATATGGAGACGGGATACTGGAACGTGAGAGGTGGCACACCCTGAAATCCCCCTTTGGAATGAACATTTTTTTGGGGGCACAAGCTCGGCATCGCACTGCCTAAGCTGGTTCTTTTCTGCTTTGGGCATCGCAATGCCTCGCACCGACTTTTGCAACCCTCGCGAGTAAAAAAAGAAGAGACCGCCTCTGCTTTTGTGCGGTACCTAACTCACAGTTGTCTTCAGCAGAGAACGGTTTGGGGTTTCGGCTACAGACCCGTAGACCCATTCAAAGCTGTTCCATGCATGGACGCCGTGGTACTTGTCTGGGTCACTGTCTTCTTGCTCCTATACGATTCGGGCTTCGTCAAGGGCGATGTCTGTAAGATGTAGGGCGACTGGCTGTCAGTGGGTACATATTACCGAATGCTCTGCTGTGCTGCTGTCAGGGCGCTTTTCCATGAAACGGCTCCAAATGCAAGCTGTGCAAGCCTGTGGTCCGTGCCCCAAAGACCCCAAGCCAGGACTTTAACCCCACACTCTCACGCTCAAGTGCAGAAGTCAACATGCGTCCGCAATTCCCAGGTGAAGTCTAGCTCACAAGAACTGAAGCCCTTGCACGTTACAGTCTGTAGGTTGTATAGACCACCCACAAGACTCCATCTGAAATCCTGATTCTTATGTGCGCACTTCTTGCTCGCTTTGAAAGCTCACAACTCCCCGGGCAGATACAGCACAGGTTTTGCATCATGTTTGCGAATCACATTGCGAGGCAAAGCAAAGGCCGCACACGTGCAGCCACAAGTCATGCAAAAGTTCACAGCCAGCCGACTGATACTGTGGCCCTGCAGTCTTGCCACGTCTGCAACAGCGGACAGCAAGAGGCTAGATGCCTTGGGGGTCGCAAGGAGAGCCTGCAACGCTAGCAAGAGATCCGGCAGCATCTCATCATGCAGCCAGTATTTCATCAGCACGTAGACTTCCACCAGCTGTTCGGTCTCCAACATGGAGACCATGTAGCGGATCCGTCTGAGCCCGCCCTTTCGACGCTCCCTAATGTCAGCAACCACCCCGGCAATGAGCATTCGTTTCACACTGCGCGAGGAGCAGCGGAAGCACAACCAAACAGCCTGGTACGCAGCTTCGCATACCTGAGCATTGTCGTGGCACTGTCCCTGCAATCGAGCCAGGAGATGGCGGACACGCATTTGGTCAAGAAAGCTGGTTTCGCTTTCGTAGGCCATTTGGCAATGGCACCACGCCTGACCTCATGTCTAAGACTCTGCCGCAGCCCCAAAGACTGACTAACAAAACTGACGGAGTCTTGCAGGCGAGCGTCTGTCCAAGATCTTCTTGGTCTCTGCGCCCGCACCGTCTTGTGAAGTAATGTCCGGAGACTGGAACGGAGACGGGCACAGGATCTCTTTCATCTTCTTTGAGGCGCACTTGTGAACGATGGTGGCAGGGTCATGGCCGGCCACCAGAGCAAGCCTGTGTGCACACTTCAACTCGCGACCCACTCAGCCATGCACAAATAAATGCGTAGAAGTGGCTTCTCAAAGGCAGTCTGGGTGAGATGTTGGACCACAACCTGGTCATGGGCTCAAGGCGCAAGGCAGCTCTGCTGTGACGCCTGGTTCGACATGGCCTCAGATATTCTGTTGGCCTTGCGTCTGCATCAACATCACCAACTCCTGTACCTATCCACTCTCAGGGCTGATGTCGAGAGTGTCACTTTGCAAGTTCGTACAAGGCATGTGAGTTTCATACACTGGAACCCGGCCTCCAGTAAGTCATACAGAGCTGGCCTAAGCTGCATTTGTGTGACTTCGTGCGTGCTACCTCGCGAAACAGGCGAAGCAGCTAACAACGGAAACCTGAGGAAACGGTAACGG